TATAATCCCTTAAAACTACAGAACAGTGTGTGTGTGTTCAGTGTGTATTTGATGGTTTCACCATCCTTGAATTGGAGCAAACTGAACCAAGTCTGGAAAATGTTGTGAGTCTCAAAGTTGGGATCTCTCCCGTGTGTTTCCTCCGACTAATGTTGTTCTCGCCTTCTCTCCTTCAGCGCACTAAGCATTTCTAGCCAAGTCAACTCTGTCGACACATTCAGCTTGGAGATCGGCTTGCCGATGGCCACGGCTAGAAAGCGTATTGCATTTCCAGTTTAGTTGCCACTCCGAATTCTTCAATTTTTACAAATTTGTCTGGAAAATGTGATTAAAAATATAAATAATTATCTGATTATTCTCAGCTGTCCCCTGCATCAGTGTAAACAAAAACGTTGGCATTTTCTTCCAGCTGAATATCCAAACTTCAAAACATCAGTTCAGCAAAGATAATTAAAAGCATAACATCTGGTTTCAGAGAGTTAACTCCCCCTTCCCCTTTTTTTCCATGTTGCAGCAGCATTCCTGAGAGCAAAAGCTCATCTGTGCAACTGTCAGACGAAAACAGAGCCATGTGTATCTCCTGATCTGGCCTGCAGAGAGGAGCAGCCGAGCGCCGCAGTCCTGCATGCGTCAAGACGCCCCAAAGTTACCGAGGGTCAGACCTTCAAAAACACATTTCAGATACAGTCGTCGCGGATTAAGGATTGTGTTGCTCTTATCGTGAACGTCTGCAGAGATAAAGAAGGATTACACTAGGATGAAAAAATCTAGTTGCAGCCTAATGTGTGCTTTACCAACAGGAGGCTCCTAATTCTGCAGGTTTTCATTTTCACAATGGCCCTAATTGTTGAGATGGAGATGCTCTGTCGAGTCGCTTCTGCACCTCTGTGCTTGCTGTTGAGTTTTTAAAGGGACAGTATGATGTCAAATTGACTTTTTTAGCTTTATATAATAATGTTATTACTTCATCAAAAACATACCTGGAGTGTTGCTTTGATTCTTTCACGCATGTTTGAGAAATCCTTTAATCTCTCGTGGCAACCATTAAGCTGTGCAAAACACCTGGGTGGGCCTAGCTCCTCCTCCCCCCATTCAGCTCCTTCAAACTAGCCAGCAGGAATTAGCAAACACTTCTTGAACACTACGCATCTGCAAAGCTCATTATAGAAGCTATTTCTCAGTGAAGTGCTGGTAAAAACATTAAAGAGTTAATAGAGGAGCCATGATGTGATGACTTCCTGAAGGCGGAGTTTCAGAAAGAGCAGGAGCTTCTTAAAGAGACAGAGGCCCAATTTCAAAGTCAAATTTCTTTTAGCATCTCTTAATAACTGAAGTTGTTAGCCCTGTCGCAGCAATAAATCACTTAATCACATGCTAAATTAAAATTGGCTCAATAATTTCCATTTGCATGATTTATCATTTTTCTCTTATCTCTCTTTCTACCAAAAACTGGATGACTAAAGTCTACAGTCTGGCGTTTTGGTCTCAACTAGACCTTTTTTTCTGAAGGACAATTTGTTGACAGAGACTTCATAGCTCATTCTATTTGTTGTTTCTGTTGTTTGGATGTTTAAAATGCTTTCCAGTTCCAGCATTAAATGTTCACTATAATTTAAAAATGGTCTCAAAACAACAATATTATCATTTATTGCAATAACCTCTGCAACAATTTATCATCCATTAAAATTTGCTATCGTGACAGGCTTAAACGTAGTTACTTGATTGTACCATATATTGGAGTTATGTGCCTAGAAAATACGTAAAACTGGTTCTTTAAAAAAAGATTTCATTCTTTTATATTTAGCAAAGCAAACCATGTCATCGCCTCAGACAGGCTCATTTAGCTCTCTGGCATTGCACAACTGTAGATGTGAGCAAAGGTTACTGAGAGACAACTGTCATGATGCGCTCGGCGAGCTGCCTCAATCTCTCGGAGACGCCCAGTGTGTTGCATAAAACCAGCATGCACTGGATGTTTTCTGCTTCGTGTTGTAGCACGGCTCGGGACATATCCGCGGCACGAACACGCATGGAATGTTTTCCTTCTGGTTACCTGAAGGCAGCGGCTACTTCTCGCTGAAAACAACACAGTCAGAGCAGCAGGATGTCAGGTATCCTGTAAAAGGAAACCTGTAAAAGGTATAAAAGTATTCAGGTTCATACAATCGTGAATCGCTTTGTGAAAAAAGAAATCATTCTAATTGTAATCACATCTGTTCCATGCTGAGAAAAAAAAAAAAAAAAAAAACTGTTCTTTCTTAGCTCTGAAGGTTATTATTTTTAGGAATTGTTCCTTATTTTAAAAAAAAAACAACAACAAAAAAACAACGGTTGATCTTTTCCCTTATTTTTGTTTTTTTCCATCCATGAGAACATTTACTTTATCTAACTGCAGCCTTGTCTCTGACTTTGTTCTGTTGCTTGGAGACAAAGTGAAATAATGTAGCTCTGTGTAGAGCAAGACCCATCTACTTCAGGCTAAATATAGACGGAAAAACAACTAATTTAAAAGAAAAAGTTCCCACACATTTCTCTCTTTTACCATAAATTGTCAAATTCTTGAGCATTTTCACCCCCCGTCACATTTACTTCAGATATTAGGAAGGCAATTTAAAGCACTTTGCACTCAAAAACATGTTACATAAGCTAAAAGATTTGTGTCTACGGTCGACGATGTGTAAGGAATGTCATATGTAAAGACGGTTCCAGGTCCTGGAACAGGAACGGCTGGAATGTTGCATGGCTGCGCTATGTTTGTCATCATATTTGGCCGGGAGACTTCTCTCTCGTTTATGACGAATGGCCGTGTGAACCTCACAATCCATTACAGATACTAGCTGGTGAAGTCTCTTTCTACAGCAGTCGCTTCAATGAAAACACAGCTGGTAGTGAAAAAACAAAGAGCACCCTCTTTCAGTTGTGCGGTTTTACACATCAGAACATCCGACTGGACTCTGAGTCTGTTTACATCTGACACAAATCTGCAGATTGTTGACTGCTGTAGGCTATGAATGAAAAAACAATGAAGCTGTAATGGATTACAGTCAGTGGTTTTGTTTAGTGGCCTCAAGTAGTTCTTCTCTGTGGCTGTCGGTCTTCCGGATCTGCTGTGGAGAAATCTTTGGAACGTTGCTTCATTGCTTACACAATCCACTTCCAGCCAAGACTCGGCTCTCACACAGGTGGGCTCATGTTTAAGTTTACAGTGCTTTGGGATTGGTTCATGTTCTGCAAATCAGTCCTAAATTATTACCCCAACACACACACACACCTCTTCTGAGCCTGAGGTTTATTTTAAGTAAACTATTGCTATCATTTTAGCATCAAAAAGGCCCTTTAAGAGTATTTATCAGTCGAAGCCACATTACGTCAGCACTTGGATTGTATACTGTCACCTATACAATCCAAGAAAACGTTATTCTAACTATTTAAACTGTTTACAGTTAGGCTAATAAAATTATTTACAGCCAACAGCCAGCGCAGATCACCTATATTCACCAGGCACAACTCCCACACACAGGTTTGCAGAATCTGCAGATGTCCGAGGTTTTATTTGTATTTTGGTAAATAACCAGACATTTTTCCCATGCCATTAGTGAAACAATCTGCCACTGGAACGAGAACTTTTTCATCAAGATTAAGGAATTGTCAACTTAAAACAAGTTCCTATATTTTACTAAAAAAAAAAGTCACTTGTAAGTTAGTTTTGTCTTATATCAGGTATACTAGAAACTAGACCAGAAACTTTCGTCCACTTTTCAGGAATTTGTCCCACTGTGGAAACATCTTTATGATTCCAACCCAGGAACAAGTGCTTCAACAAGGACATTGCTGACATCTTTTTGTCTTTGTATTAAACATTATATGACCTCAAAGGTCACGGTTGGTGTCTTACTAACTTTTCATTACCTCAACAAGGCAACATTTCTGAAAGGCAACAGAAATGTTGCCTTTCCCTGGAAATGCAAGTCTGCTGAGAAGATTTAGGAAAATAAAATTTTTGCTGAGTGACTGGAAGTTAGAGATATTTTTACGTCTATCTCCTCAGCTCTGGTCTCCCGCCTCACTTCCTCTGTGGCATCCTCAGATAACTTCTCCTGATGCTGGCCCCAAGTCATGTCTGCTGAGGAAAACAATATTTCTGTCCTGACTCACCACCGTGGGACGAGATAAAGCTCTCAGGCAAATCATGAGTTAGTGTATCTAATTCTCCCGTCACATCTTCACATCTGGATTCAATGATGCTCTGCGATGCCGGTCACAAGACTCTATCGTACACGTCCGCAGATGGCACCCAGACAGCTTCAGAACTTTGCTTGTTTCAAGCCTCCCGCCCCCCATCCAGTAGCTCCTCTGACTTTTACGGGCATTAGTTTACTTTATTAGATTTCTGGATTTATTTGAGTCATCTGAGCGTTCCACAATGTACTACTAGTGAGAAATTACCATCGCTCTTCCTGGTACTTTGTCAGTGAAAGTCAGCTTGAATTGAGTTTTCCAGCTCAATGGGTGTATAGGTCATGTGGATGAACAAAAAAAAGACGTTTCGTACGAATTAGTCCCAGTCTCAGAGGAGGCGGCCTCTCTTCGGTGACACACAAATAAAGGTGTGTTCATTTGCACACAGTGGAGGCGCTCAGAGAGAGGGCATGACAAAAAAACACCTCCACAATAACGTGGAGGAAACACAATCCCTCTCCTCCCAAGACTTTAATCCTCCTGGTTTTCGTCTTGGCTGATGGGAGGTTTTGCTTTTTCTGGGTCTTTGTGGTGCTCCAATGGGTGTTCGAGTTTCGGACCGGTCCTTTGGGATGTGATGGGAAAAAGTGAAATATGGCATTTGAATTCTTCAAAATAAAAAATTCATGATATCAGGATTTACTCATTAGCTCAGGCTCATTTTGTTACATTGTAGCTGCCAAATCTAATGTATTTTAAAGTGGCAGGGTTGTGTAATATTGACATTTTTAAGCTTTACATGATGTTATGTTACTCCACCATCATCATCATCATCAAATACATACCTGGGGTGTTGCCTTAATTTTTCATGCATGTTTGAGAAATCCTTTGATTTCCTGTGGCAACCATTCAGCTGTGCAAAATAGCTGGGTGGGCTTAGTTCCGCCTTCAAGGTATAGCTCCTCCTCCAGCTGCGGAGCTTCCATCTCACAGAGGAGCCTTCACCCACAACTGTGTGCTAGGGTGACCTATGACTCCCCACAAGTGGTGGACAATGTCTCCCACCCCATGCATGAAGCTGTTACTGAACTCCAGGATGCTGCATCCTCAGTGCACTAAGCAGCCTTATCAGATATCCTTCCTCCCAGCAACTGTTACAGCAGCTGTCACGGCTCCCAACAAGCTCAATAAGTGTTTACATACAAGCTGGTATTTGCACTGTTCGATTTTTTTACATATTTTTTTTTATTTGCAAGTTTTTTTCAAACTTGCAAATTTTCAACATTTGGAGCACAGAAATTCTCTTTTCGAGAAAATTTCAGTGATTAATCTCAAAATTCCTGAACCTTGTTTAGCTTCTTTATTTCTATACCTACAATACGCCGTGGTAATTTTCCACCCTCTTCCGGATGTACTTAAATTTCTGTGACATTCAGTCCAAGTACCTGCTTAGCTTTGTGTGTGTGTGTGTGTGTGTGTGTGTGTGTGTGTATGTGTGTTTTCTTTGCTGCCGTTTGAGAGGAAGAAAACAAAAACCTACCAAACAGGTTTCTACCTTTCAACGTGCGAAACAGCCAACTGTTGGGGAAACAGGTGAAAAAGGGGAAACGGCAACGAGAAACTCACTTTTTAGCTGGAGGACAAAACTACAGCGATTTCTTCCTAACAAGAAGGTGTGTATTCAGGTGCACTCAGGAGGGAATAGTTCCTTATTTATTGAGCAGCACATACTGAGGGGTTTTAGTAGCAAACATGACAAAAAACAAGTCAATAAACAGGCAGTTCCACTAAACATTGCCTGTGCAGAATCATTTTGGTAATTTAAACAATAAGATGAAACCTGCCCATCTCTTTCAGCCCGCCGTTCAGTTAGCTAATCCTCCCGTCGTCAGACAGATGCTGCTTCAGGTGAGAGCAGGTCCAAATTTTTCCAGCAGCCCTTTGGCCCAGGTAACTTTCCCATGGTGAAACCACCTGGGATCACATCAAAAAAACTGTACCTCATTCTCTCACACACACATATGCAAGCAAACACAAAAATCACACACAAACAACACAACCTCCCCTCCCCCCCATCCTTCCCTTAGGCCGCGCTGTGAAACAACAGGGGAATCCGCCGTAGCGACACCACGCTGCCCCTGGTACTTTTCCACAGATAACAAAGGCTGAGGAGTGTCATGTTGCAATACTTGTTGATGTTGACTTTGCTGGTTTATGGCACACACATTCCATATAGGCAAGGTAGACCCACAATAAAGGTTGCTTTAGTGAAGCTGATTTGTTCTTTTACAGGGGCGGCGAGCTGGCTACTGATCAACACCTGGAGTTTTCCACTGTCCTCTATCAAAGGCATCCATCTTCATTAACAGGCAGCAGATGCGCAGGGTTGTGGAAGGCTCTGGGAACGAAACAGAGCAACAGCAAGAATCCGATTTCAGAGATTAAAACCAGAAACGTGCCGGAGACGAGCAGATAGTGTTAAAGGTGGAAGATGTTTGACTAATTGTGGTTACGGCTGCAGATTTTACAATGTTCAGGGGAGATTTTTATACGACTTAATGTACAGACAGCAAAACAGTGTTGTGTTTAAGACCACCTAACCCGAGACCAAGACAAGACCAAGACTTTTAGGGTCCGAGACCAAGTCAAGACCAAGACCGAGGGAAGTCAAGACCAAGACCAGCGGCC